CCCCCCCCCCCCAAGATTTTTGCACCTAATACTAGTTCATACCTTTTTCAAGTAAGTTAAAAATCAGGTGGACATGTGCTAACCAAAAATGCTGTTGAGGTTTTCTGATGGTGGTTTTGTTGAATTTATATTTGTAATGACAACTTTCTAATAATAATTTTTTCATGTGTATTTTACATATTTTCCCCCTCTGTAAAGACCAGATGATAGGGTTTTATAGGTGTCTTTTCTTGGTCTGTTTAATTTTTATTGTTGACAAAAATAGAGACAGCTCATCCTTATACATTTAATTTTAAAAGGGAAGAATGTAATTCTAACAACTCAATTGTTATATAAAAGTTCAAAGTAGGAGTTGACGCTCTCATACATCAGATTCTTAGCCTTCTCTGGGGGTGTTCACCATGTTGCCTACCCTAATTTGTATGAAGGCTTGTAATTTCAGTCATAAACATTTTCCATTTTGCTTTAGCAGACATTCAAGTAAAGCATTTGGAGAACTATTTTGCCTCCTTTATCCTAATGGAAGCTTATTTGAATGTGTAGTTAGTATAAATAGGTGTTTAACATTGCATTCTAGTTAATAGCAAGGTACTTAATAGAATCAGACTGGACCTTGTAACTTCAAACAAGTTTCATAGTCTCTCTTGTTCAGTTTTCTTATTTGTGAAATTGGGATACAAAATGTCTAATTCTTTCTAGTCCCTGAAATATTTACTAAGCCCCCATCCCCTTCCCAACTGTTAAACCTTGTAAAAATTCAGTAAGACTGCTACATCTGTTAAATATCTGGCACATGAATGTTGCTTGCCTGGTGCTGGCTTCAGTTTCTTCTATTGAAGAAAAATTTTTTTCAGCACTATTATAATCTTTTTATTTAGAATCTACATCAGGAGACAAATCTGTATCACATTGCACAACTCCTTCCACGTCTTCTGCCTCTGGACTGAATCCCACATCTGCACCTCCAACATCTGCGTCAGCGATCCCTGTTTCTCCCGTTCCACAGTCACCAATACCTCCATTACTTCAGGACCCAAATCTTCTTAGACAGTTGCTTCCTGCTTTGCAAGCCACGTTGCAACTTAATAATTCTAATGTGGATATATCCAAAATAAATGAAGGTAAGTTTTCATACTAACAATTATTTTTAAATTTGGTTTGCATGTTATTTCGTTTAAAATTGAACTTTACATGACTTCTTCTGAATTACGAAATTTTAAATATATGTCCTCCAGATTTGGTTTTGGTTGGAATTCCTGTGTAATTTTCAGTGTTGCTATGTACCTGGAGATAAGCTGTATCTACTACCTATATGTGGTATTTTGAAGTTGAAAAATTAATTAAAATTGATAAACACAGGGTTATAAAATACTGTAAAACTTTCCAGAGTCACTGCAGCATGAGTTTGATCCCGGGCCAGGGAACTGACCCACATGGCACAGCAGACCTCTCCTGTCTCGCCCTCTGCTCCCTTCAGCAGTGTGCTTCAGTCTGAATGTTCTGTTCCCTATTCTGTCTCTGATGAATCTTCTCACCTATCCCATATCCCCACCCCCTACACCTCTAGTCTATACCCCAGCTCTTGTGTGCATAAATAAAATTGATAAAAGTTCATGGTATTTGGTTTCTGGCATATTTCTAAAAGTCTGTGTGTGGATAATTTATTGTTTGGAATATTAAAAATATGCTAATAACTAATAAAAGAACAGAAATTTAAGCAGTTCATTCTTTCAGTGCTTTACAGAAACTTTAGAGTGCAAATGATAGCTAACATTTTGCTATTTTTACACAAGCATTTTATAAAAATCTTAACAATAAGTTGATACATTGTTTTAATTTGTGAACCATTGAGATTAAAAACTTAAATCCTAAGAGCACTGTAACAATTCTCCTTATAACTTCTATTGGTATGTATTTTTGCATCATCTTATTTTAATAGTGTCAGTGTAAAGGTCTTAGTTTCTCAGGCCAGTTGATCTTTAGTCCTTTAGTCTTCTATTTATATTTCCTGTATTTTTTCAAAGCTAATCAGACGTGTGTGTGTGTGTGTGTGTGTGTGTGTGTGTGTGTGTGTGAGAGAGAGAGAGAGAGAGAGAGAGAGAGAGAGAGAGAGAGAGAGAGAGAGAGAGAGAGAGAGAGAGAGAGAGGTTGATAGGTTAAGTATTTTACTGGGTAAAGTAGGACTTTTTTTTTTCTTTAAAGATTTATTTAAAAATACACAACTGGGGTACAGGCCAGAGGTGTAGGGGTGGGGGTGGTAAGAAGATTCACTAAAGACAGATTGGGGAGCAGAATAGGCAAGTGTACTGTGTACTGACATACACTGCTGAGGGGAGCAGTGCCAGGCCATGTGGATCACCTCCCTGGCTGGGGATTGAACTCATGCCGCTGTGACTGTGATAGCTTCATAGTGCTTCACTTTAACCTGTTGCACCACCAGGGAGGGCCCCTCACTGACTATTTTCGATTGCATTTATTTTGCAAAGAACTGGGGTGTAGACCTGCAGGGTGAAAGGGTTGACCAAAGGCAGAGTTGGGAGCAGAGCACGCAGATGTACTGAAATACACAGCTAAAGGGAGCAGTGGGTCATAGAGGAGAGGTCTGCCATGCCTTATGGGCTAGCCCCATGGCTGAAAATTGAAGTCAGGCTGTGGTGGTGATGGTGCTGAGACTTACCCCCCTAAACCACCAGTGAGGCACTCACCAACATTTTTTTTTTTTTTTTTTAAGATTTATTTATTTGTGCATACAGAACTTGGGTATAGGCCAGAGGTGCAGGGGTGGTGAGAAGATTCACCAGAGACAGAGTGGGGAGCAGAACAGGCAGATGGAAGAAGTACTGTGCTGAGGGGAGCAGCGGGCGGGTAAGGAGAGGTCCGCCACACCATGTGGTCACCTCCGGGGCAGGCAGGGATCGAACTCTTAAAGAAGTGGCTCTAGCTTTTAGTGCTGTGCTTTAACCCATTGCACCACCAGGGAGGGCCTCACCAACTTTTTAATAACCATTTTTAAAAGATTGTTGGGGAGGCTGTGCTGCTGTGTAGGATTTGAGTGGTCTACTTTATAAAAAGTAGTTATATAAAAGAGCTATCATTTATCCAGTAATTCCAGGTAATACACTGAGCACTTCACCTCCATATGTATAGGTTTCTAGAATAATTGGAAACCCTAGTGGACAGTATTTAATGTTTTTCAAAAGTCTCATAGAGGTATTTTTTTAACTGAACACCATAATTCTAGTATAAAGGAAACATCTGTTTTCTTTGTCACGGACTTCTTAAATTTATTTTGCTGTGCTATAGATAATTTCAAATCTGTAGATCCATTACATATAGCCCACTTAGGAAATACTCCAGTTTTTTTCCTGGAGTTTTCAAGTTGTTAACAGTTGCTACATATGCCTTAGTTTTTATTGCAATTTAAGATATACTTGTTTTTAGTTCTTACAGCAGCTGTGACACAAGCCTCATTGCAGTCTATAATTCATAAATTTCTTACTGCTGGACCATCTGCTTTCAACATAACTTCTTTGATTTCTCAAGCTGCTCAGCTTTCTACACAAGGTATTTATACTCTTGGATATAAAGTCTTTGAAGAGGTTAACTATAATGACCTCTGATTTTTGTAACTACAGAGTAATACTTAGTTACCATTTCCTTTTAGATGTGTGCAAGTCTGACATTTTCAGTGTTACTTTCTAGTCTGTAATAGAGTACATATTTAACTCAGAATTTTAATGAGATGTTTTACTTAGGAGTTGAAATGTAAATTCTTGAGGTACCCTTCATCATTGTGAGGCATTGAATATAACGTAAGTTTGGTTCAGGTTGATGTCCTCTTACAGAGGATATGGAAATGCTCCATTCCTGCCTGAATTGACTCCCTGAAAGCATCCATTGAAAAGAAATACATAGAGAGCAAATGGGAAATGAGGGGTCATAGACCCCAAAGCACAATTAAAGCTGGTAGAGATAAACCTGGTGTGAAATTTGAAAGTATAAGAGTAAAAAGACTTTTAAAAGCCTCTGGTTAGCCTGAGGAGACAGGAGACTGGAGGGGACAAACCAGGACTATAAGTACAATAACTAACAAGAAAACAAGGATGCCTTCCATGTGAGAATAGATTCAGGGTTTACCTCTCTGCTCCAGCCTTAGAAAAAGAGAGTGCCTCACTGGATGTGCTCATCTCTAACACACAACACATTGAGTCAGTGTGGCCCTGGTGAGTATCTCTGGTACTTACTCAGATTAAGTTTTGGGGAAGGAGGATACATGGACTATGTGGAGAAATGTCCCAATCTCTCCCACATATATTAAAATGATTTTGGGTTTATTTGAAATTAATTCCTTCACTTTTCTACAGCTCCACCATCTAATCAGTCTCCAATGTCTTTAACGTCTGATGCATCATCCCCAAGATCATATGTGTCTCCAAGAATAAGCACACCTCAAACTAACACAGTCCCTATCAAACCTTTGATTAGTACTCCTCCTGTTTCATCACAGCCAAAGGTATGTCAACTTTTGAGGGAAATGTGGAGAAGAAGCCACTTTAAGAAAGCATTTAGGAAAACGAATTCAGTATGTTTTAGAATCTGTATTGTAGGAGAAAAACCCTCTTTGAGCAATGAGATAATTGCGGAGTGAATAGTAGGAATAGGTGAGTGAGAATAGATGCCGGTTAGACTCCAGGTAATTGTGAGATGGAGAAGGGCATTGTATACATTTTATTCTGGGGCTTTTATACATTTTATTCTGTTCTCTTTAATAGCTTTGGGATTTATATCATGACTAGCTGGATAAAGAAGGGCACTAATGTTTGGAGTCTTCAGACTCAAACAGGATGGGATGTTTTCTAGTGACACTGCTGCTTACTTCAACTTAGCAAAGCAGTTTCTGTGCTAAGAGTTTACATAAGCATCACGCTTTCATATCCTGGAAACCAATTACTTGCCTCATTAATAGACAAAATTAAGCTTTTGGTTAAATCTAGTTTTTACTTTTGGTTAAATCTAGTTTTTGTATTGGAGTCAGAATTTGAAGCCTAGACTTTTTTTTTAATGCAGAACCCATTTTATTAAATGGTGCTGCTTATGTTTGAGCAAAATCTTACAGGAATGACTCTTCAAGGCAGTTGCAGAATTGCTGGTCTATTCTTACTGGAATGTAACAGGACCTTACACTGATGAGCTCAAATTTTGTACTAGGTCTTCTGAATTTTATTCACAAATGCATTAGCAAACCCCAGTCTTAATCATCATTCTTTTGTAGCATATCACTAGTAAAAAAACAGGTTGGGGAAGTCAGTATCTATAAGTTGTACGTAAAAATTTTTCTTTTTAAATTTTTAATGGTAAATTAAAAAGAAGGGAATTCTTTTTTACTTACTGTGAAACAGTGAACTATTTGAAGCTTTTCTTCCAGGAATTCTTTATTGAAATAAAACCATAAGCTGAAGCTTAAAAATGCATTGAAGCTTGGCTTGAAATCGGTGGTAGACAGTTTTTAGTTTTTTGCTCACCCTTTCCTATTTTGGCTGTTTATCTTATGTATATTTTATGGTTGCAGTCTAGGTCTTTTTTTTTTTTTTTAATTGCAAGTAACCTTTTTGTTAAGAATTTGTTGTGCAGTTCATTAGTTTGCCTATGTTTTAATAGAAGAATTAGTATGCAAATTTCAGCATAAATTTTTACTCTTAAAACTTATCTTCAGATTGATATTTTGAGAGTACAATAAATGATAACTAAAAGTGAAATATATGATAATGTTGGTTTTACAGTTAGTTTCAAAATTAACATTTCTAATCTCTGAAGCAGGTAGCTATCAGTTATTTTACATTTACACCCTTCTCCAAGTTGTTTTTAAAAATAGTTGGTCTTATGTAGACCTTGTGAAAATATTATTTATAAAAGAATCAGTTAGAGCCTAGTATTCAGAAGTAGCAATGCAATTCATATGTGTCTGAGAGAATATTAGTCATCTCCTTAACTCTTCCATGCCACACCCCCTAAAAAAAACGGCTACTGGAGGATGTGACTTAATCACAGGTGGCTTTCTGCCTTTGTGACTTAATTTAGGGCTTACAGTTAGAACATCAACAGTCTATGTATCCTCACTGTCAATCATGGACTCTTGGTCTATCTCTATAGGGCAATAATTTCTTTAAAGACCATTTAAGTTTAATTTGCTATGGGCCATAGCTCATTTTCTGTTAGACCAGGCTATATATTTTATCTATTTATGGTTGAAATTTAAGCAGCTGTGATGTGGTAACAGTAAATCAGAAGAGGCACTTTATAGTATATTGGAAAGAAAACTGGGCTGAAAATCAAGAGAACCAGATCCTTAGGCTGGTATGCCAAGAAAGTGATTTTATGGACTTGGGCCATGTTTAGCTCTTTCAAACCTTGATTCTCTTCTAATTGTATGATGTTTAGCAATATCATTTGATTCAGTCTTGTCAATGTTTAAGGGGATTGTGGGTCTGGAGACCTAAATATAATTGACAAATTCAGGCATGCCTTGCTAATTAATTTTCTGTAACAGAATTTGAACTAATTCTACCTTAAAAATAATTGAAAAATAGAACTCACGGGAAAGTTTCATTGGTAGAACTTTGGTCTTTATCTAGATTTGGAGCTGTTTGCCTGTGTGATGGAAATCTTATCTCACCAGATTTTGACATTTCAGGTTAGTACTCCAGTAGTTAAGCAAGGACCAGTTTCACAGTCATCCACACAGCAGCCTGTAACTGCTGACAAGCAGCAAGGTCATGAACCTGTCTCTCCTCGAAGTCTTCAACGCTCAAAGTAAGTTGATACTGTATGTTGAGACAGTTATTTTTCTTTTTTTAAAGATTTACAGGCAGACTGATGAAGTACACTGCTGAGGGGAGCAGTGGGAGAGACAGGAGAGGTCTGCTGTACTATTTGGGTCACTTCCCTGGCTGGGGATCAAACTTGTGCTAACAGTAGCTGCAGATAGCTTCATAGTGCTGCACTTCAACCTGTTGCGCAAGCAGGGAGGGCCCTTATTATTTTTTTTTTTTCTTAATATGATATACTTCACTATGGAAATACTACAGATAAGCATATGTAGTAGAACTTGATCTTTGAAGAGGCCATGAATATCATAACTTGTTTTTATCATTATATGATTTACAAAGGCATTTCTTACAGCAAGTAGTTCATTTTATCCAGGGATAAAACTTGGATTATTTTGAAGAAAGTGGCTCTTTGGGGTTTTACTTAGTGGAATGTGATGTGTATTGGACACATGTCTTGGTATTATACTCTACATAGAGCGCACATGATATTTTAGTACTTTATTTGTGAAAGTTACTTTTTTGAAGACTTTTTTTTTAATGCATACAAAAACTAAGGTGTAGGCCACAGGTGTAAGGGGTGAGAGGATTCACCAGACAGTAGGAAACAGAACAGGTGATTCTACTGAAATATAATCCTGAGGAAAGCTGTGAGCTAGACAGGAGAGGTCTGTTGCACCAAGTGAGTCAGCTCCCTGGTGGGGGATTGAACCCAATGATTGGCAACAGCTTGATATTACAGATACTTAACCAGGGAGGCCCCCAAAATACATTACTTTTAACCTTATAACAGTTTTGGATTTGAATGTGTTAAGGTAAAAAAGATCATCTAAAACTAACCACCTTTAGGCTTTCCTAATAACTTCAGTTTAGACCCTAGATAGATTGCTTATCTTTTTGAGATGCATTTTGTTGTCACTTTTCTTTGTTAATTAACAAATATAATTTTCATTTGATTGATTTTCCTGTAAGATGGGAAAATAGTTATTGTTGCTTTTGATTTCTAAATAAACATTTCTGAACTTAATACATCCAAATGGGAATTGTTCCCTTCAAAATAATTACCTTGGAAAACTTTCTAAATTGTTTTTTAGAGGCTGCAATATTTTCTTTATATAAAATCCTCAGTGATGAAGATTTTTCATGCTTTGGGAGATTCAACTTTTGAAAATAACTGATGGTCAGAGCCAAGTCTGGTGAAGCAGGTGGAAAATCAACTTTGGGTCCTTAAATTTTTGGTTCTTACCCACCAAAGGTCCCTGAAACCTAGCCTAAACTATGCATCTGAGATCACCAATCTCATTGGTTTTTCTTTTTCTTTCTTTTTTTTTTTATTTTACTCTCTAATTCAATACTTTGTTTTTATGTTGAACAAAGATAATTAATTTTTTTCCCCTCTACTACATGTAGCTAGGTCAGTTACAATGTCCAGAGGTGTCTGATACGTACAGCTGTTAAAAACTGACCATTTCCTGTGCTCTTATTAGTGTCACTGGGTTTGTCAAGTTTGAAGAACTGGTGGTGTTTACATTTAATATTAGTGCCACGAGTTCTCTTTTCCCCCAAAGGTGTTTTAAGGAATACATTATAGTTCAAATTTTGCATTTGCTGTTAAAGTAGACTTTTCTTTGGCCATTTTCATATCTTAAGAAGGTAGTATTGATAATTTCTAGGATACTTGTGAAACTACTTTCAAACACACTACACATTCAATTTTATTTTATCATTCAGCAGCCAGAGGAGTCCATCACCTGGTCCAAATCATACTTCTAGTAGTAATGTATCAAATGCAGCCGTTGTACCACAGAATTCTTCTGCCCGACCAACATGTTCTTTAACACCTACGCTAGCAGCACATTTCAATGAAAATCTCATAAAACATGTTCAAGGATGGCCTGCAGATCATGCAGAGAAACAGGTATGTGACATGAGTGGCAGCAGGTATTTTACCTAATAGAACCTAATGCTAATTTTAGAAAATCTCATCCAGACTACTTTTAAAATAACTAATATCTAATTACATTTAGTCATTTTTAAAAACACTTGGTTTATACTTACTGTATATTGTAACTGTGGCTTCCTTAAAATATTTTAATATTATCTAGCTACCCTTTTTTTAGCATGTATCTCTGTTCTAAATGCTTAATGTTTTTTTTCTCCCGTTAGGATTGCTAACCATTATAGATAATGTATTCCCATTTTACAAATTAGATAATTCTAAGGTGCATTTAATACAGTGATGTGGCTCATAGCCACTGTATTGTTTCTGCTCATTCAGCCACACTGATAAGTTTCAGAATCTGTTAGTACTAAGATATTTTTGCTTTGAGATGAGGAACCTTAGGGCAATTAGATTACTGCCATTTCCCATTTATCAAATAACTGACCATCTGAAATTTTAAGTTTATTGTCACTGAAATGTGTCATGTGTGTCTCATAGGAATGCACTTAAACCAATGTATGTCTGAACTTTGGCTTTGACTAATTCATCTTGTTTTATTTGACCACAAATAGCCTAGCATTCCACTTAATCTGGAGATTGGAAATATTTTTTTAATCAACCTGAAGGCAAATTTTGAAATAAATACCGTCTACCATTAGAAACAGGTTTTTTTGTTTGTTTTCTTTTTTAAAGAAACTAATTTTGCTGTTAAGGTTTACCAGCATTTTTGTGAATTTAAAGGAAAAAGAATTACTCTCTAAACTCGGTATAACATTCTCAGAAATTGAATGTTTAATCGTTTTATATATGAATATGATGTATTTGATGTGATCTTCATTTTTTTAATTACAGGCTTCAAGATTGCGAGAAGAAGCCCATAACATGGGAAGTGTTCACATGTCTGAAATTTGTACTGAATTAAAAAATTTAAGATCTTTAGTCCGAGTATGTGAAATTCAAGCAACTTTGCGAGAGCAAAGGTAAATTTTTTTCTGAAATTTAAAAGTTGTCTTGGATATAGTGCATAATGCTATAACTGTTTTCATAATTTAATAATACGGTGTTATGGTGCTGACATACTAAATTTTGTTTCCCTTAGCCAATGATAAATGATTCATTAGACTTCCCCCCTTAGGTTATATATAATTTTATAAGGTACAGTAATTATTTTAAAAGTGAAATTTTGATTGCTGATTTTAAAGGTCCCTTCTTGAGTTGAAGGTAGCACTCTATTACCAGGGTTTTGTTTCACTTGAAATTTCAAATTACTGCTTAACTTTGTCTTTGCATTGCCAATATACTTTTGGAAATTGCAGTGAGAATTCAGCTGTTAAAGCAAGTTTAATCATGTACTTTGTTTTCACCTAAACTCTTCTTGTCTCATTTTGTAGTCCTCTATTCCACTCAAGTAGGATCTCTATATCCCAAGTAATTGTATAGTTTTTAAAAGATCTGTTACACAGTTGAAGACAAACTTTCAGTGACTTTGTATACATTACTTGGTCATGGTTAGCGTGAATCTTTTTGTGAACCATAATTATTTAGTGATTACTACGTTGGACTTTATAGTAAACTTGGGAAAGTGAGTTTTTACCTAACCTTTCAGTTACTAAAGTTGTGGTGGTGTTGCTTGGGGTTTTTTCCTCTGGAAATAATTTTAGCATACATAAAACTTACTTTTTGGCTTTCCCAACAGATGGTTTGACTTTTAGGAAGTTACACTGTTTGTAATGAAACTTACAAGTACACATAATGAGGTATTAGGCCCAGTACATGGTTATGCATAAGTCACTGGGCAGGCGATGAGTGTCGCTGCTCCTGGGAGAGGGGGTTAGGGAATCTAGACAGCTTCAGAGTTTGTGCTTTCAGTTAGATGATCCATGTCCATTGGACTTTGACTTGGCATTATGTAAACCAGTATTTATGGTGAGAATTGTTCTTCACATGATTAGTCTTTTGCACCTGGCTAACTCTTCTAGGCTTACTATATTGTGGCCCAGAAAACTTGTAATATGGTGTATTTCATCTTTAATGTTCAAATTACTGAGAAATGGTTAAACATTCTAACTTTTGTTACCTTAGTACTTCAGTATGTGTCATGTGGTTATTTTGTCTTAATTGTAGACTTAATTCATTTTTAATTATTTAGTCTTAACTAAAACCTTTGTAGACACATATTGGCTTTTCTGTGACTTATTTGCACATACCAGTGCTGATACCTTCTTTTATTTTTCAGGATACTGTTTTTGAGACAACAAATTAAGGAACTCGAAAAGCTAAAAAATCAGAACTCCTTCATGGTGTGAAGATGTGAATAATTGCACATGGTTTTGAGTACAGGAACTGTAAATCTATTGCCCAATCTTAACATTTTTGAGCTGCATTTAAAGTAGACTTTGGACCGTTAAGCTGGGCAAAGGAAATGACAAGGGGACGGGGTCTGTAAGTCAATTCAGGGGAAAGATACAAGATTGATTTGTAAAACCCTTGAAATGTAGATTTCTTGTAGATGTATTCTTCACGTTGTAAATATGTTTTGTAGAGTGAAGCCATGGGAAGCCATGTGTAACAGAGCTTAGACATCCAAAACTAATCAATGCTGAGGTGGCTAAATACCTAGCCTTTTACATGTAAACCTGTCTGCAAAATTAGCTTTTTTAAAAAAATTTGGGGGGTTAATTTATCATTCAGAAATCTTGCATTTTCAAAAATTCAGTGCAAGCGCCAGGCGATCTGTGTCTGAGGATACGATTTTTGAACCATATGGGCAGTGTACAAAATATCATGAAACAGCTGTTTCCACACTTGCACCTGATCAAGAGCAGTGCTTCTCCATTTGTTTTGCAGAGAAATGTTTTCCATTTCCCATGTGTTCCATTTCCCTAAAACCCTTGATCTGATTTTATCCATTTTTTTAAGGCTCCTCTTTTTCTCCTTTCTTAAGGCACTGTTGCTATGGCACTTTTCTATAACCTTTTCATTCCTGTGTACAGTAGCTTAAAATTGCAGTGATTGAGCATAACCCACTTGTTTGTATAAATTATTGAAATCCATTTGCACCCTGTAAGAATGGACTTAAAAGTACTGCTGGGCATGTGTGCTGAAAGTACATTGATTGCTCAAATATATGGAAATGGCCCAATGAACATGGTTGTGGGAGGGGAAAGAGGAAACAAAGCTAGTCAGATGTGAATTGTATCTGTTGGAATAAACATGTTAAAACAAACAAAAATTGTTATTTTTCCTTTCCTTCGGTCAGTGCTTATTATTAGAATTTTTAACTACCTGGGGATTCTTTATCAGAACTATTCTTGTTGAATATTTATACTTAATCGGAGTAATTCCTTAAGGGAGGTTTTGTTTAAAGCATAGTCACAGGAAATTGTGTATAAGATATTTAATGAAATACGAAATTCAACAAGAATGATTAAGTCACTTCCCAAGTGGTTGTCATTTGTTAAATCCTGGTTTACCTGTCTTGCTATTATGACATTTCATTTTGAAGGATGTTTGTGTTGTAGCTAACTGTTCAAGTCTGGTGCTGACTGCTGTTCTTAGCCATCACAAAACGCTAAATTTGTGTAATTGGAGCTTCCTGCTGTTATCTGGAATGGTGGGAAAGCTCAGCTTTGTATATTGTTTCCTAAAGTATATTAAAATAAAAAAAGAAACTATTGCTACTATAAAATTACCTTGGCTTTTTTTTTTTTTCATTGCTAAAATATTGGTCTCGTGGCCAAAAAAACATGACACTGCCAGTATTATATCAAATCACAAGGGTTTCTTTATGCATTAAAATCTTTTAATTTCAAAATCTTAATTTAGAAACTTTTTTCTTTCCTGTGAGGCAGACATATTCATGTGCTTTCAGAACTGCCAGCACCAAGGGCTTATTTTGTGATGTTAGATGTTGATATCACATTCTGGGATACTAAAGTTTTGAAGTTGCTCTTATGATTTAAACATTTAAAATACTAAAGATAACGCTGAGACTTTTCAATAAATTTTTTTAAGCAAACTGTAAGCAATAGTATGGGCAATATTTTCTAAAATACAAGAATGTTTCAGTGTAATTAAAAGGTACTAAAATCTACTGGAAGTTGGCTTTTTTTTTATTGTAACTTGAAAATACTTTTAAAATGTAAGAAAAGACATGTCATAAATTATATCATGAATTGTTCATATCTGTGAAATTGTTAACAAACATTTGCTGGACTTGATTAGTGCATGTAAATGAAATTCTGACGAGCTGTGTTAAGTGAGAACCCTTACTGCTGTGGCCCTGTATTTTTCCTGGAAAGAAGTGAGCAATTTGTTATGTAGTAGGCAAATGTTTCCTAATCAGATGGCAACTTGACTTTTGACTTAAGGTAAATTGGATTTGACTTGCTAGTAGTTTATTTATGTCACCTTTTATTATGTCACCTTACTCCTTTACTTTAAAAAAAAAAATGTTTACATACTTAAATGAATCATACACATAAATAGACGAGATGCCTAATTTGAAATTTCTTGGTGAATTTTTAAACACAGAAAATTAAAATTTTTGTGGAAAATATTTTTACAATATTTGATTCACTTATTCTGTAGTGCACTTTAATACAGATATGGTGTCCAGCTACTAAACGTTTAGCTAGCCAGGAGTATTTATTAGAATAGGCATGATGTAATACCCAAAACAATTCTTTATCTAGTCGACCTATTGCTGTGACCTGTATCTCATCTTGGTGGGCACCTTGGTTCAGACGTTTGAAAACAAATACAAATAGTCCCTAGGAAACCTCAGGGGTTTTACTTTTTATATTTGTTTTAACAGAGACGTTAGTCTTATATTCAAACCATAAAACCAAGATACTGGAATAAAATGTGAAGATGGGTCCATTGGAAAGTCTACCCTGGAAGAACCAGCTTCCCTACCATTTTCTTTCTGTTTAAGCCATTTTGACTTAATTTTGAAACTTGGGCTATAACTCCATTGAAAAATACAGTTTTTAAAAATGTGCTTTATCTTCTAAATTTTATGTTTCACACTTGTAAGATCTTGGCAAGGAGGGCTTACAATATTGCAAAGAGTAAATTGTTAACCCATTTCAAAAGCAATCTATTGTTCTGTTCAAACACAACCTTAGCTTCTAGGGATTTCCATGGGGCGGGGGAAGGGTACAGGGTGCAAAATAATTCACTGCAAACTATTGTAGTTCAGAATTAAAGCTACTGTATTTAGATGTGGGGTTTGAATATACAGATTTCTTTTCAATACCTGTAAATATGGCTATATTCTTGTATTTGTACTGGAGTGTACAAAATGACACTTAAAAGTAATAAATATGTTTTGACTATATTGTGCAGTTATTTCAGAACTGTTTTGAAAGCTCGAGAGTGCATAATTAATGCATTTGAGTAAGAAAACCAGAGTACAGTTAAAAATTTAAGTCTTGTTTTCTCTTAATCGCACTATTGATGAAAATTATGGCTTAAAAGTTGGGATTCTTTAGGTCCTGTTCTAATTTGCCATCTCTCTTTTTCTCAGACTTCTAAATTTTGGGAGCACAATGTGCCTGGTAGATCTCATCTAGGCCCTTGGTTTTGAGAAACCCAGACTTTGATCATCAATTTTACTGAATTGTCACCAGTCCTTTCCTTGAGCTTCCAATAGTAGTATAGATAATCGCCTTGTCTTTATAGCAAGATCTCTATAAAGGAGAAATTCCAATATGCATTTTAGCCTATTCACCAGTCTTCCCATTTTCAGTAATTGACACTACTATCCCCCCAGGAAATTGAGATTCAGCAATTTCCTTCTCCACATTTTTAATTCATCAAGACCATGAGCTCTGCCTTTGAAATGTGTTTTGTATCTGTGAGCTCTCGCCATCTCTCTCTACCAGTCCAAGCCACAATGATTGTGGAATCCCACCCACTACTGCAACTTACACATACAATCTATTCTTTGTATAGCTACCCCAGTAAGTTATAAAGCACATCATCATGTTTCTAATTCAGTGATTTCACATCCAGAACAAAGTCAAAAGCTGCATGTTCAAGCCCTCAACACCAAGGCCCTCTAACCCACCAGTTGCTCCCTGGCTCACTAGAGTTTTTGCATTTTCTTTACAGAACGCTGTCCTTAAGAGATTGGAGCAATTTGCTCCCCATTCTAATCTCAATGAGGAGAACTCTTAGGATTTTTCCTACTAAAGATCACCATTGCTGTTAACTTAGTTTTCTTCCAAGTTCTGGTTTTGGACCTCTCACCTTGGGAGATAGGAAGGGAATAACTTAAAATTACTGCAATTTACAAGTGGTTGTCAAAACCTAACTTCAGTACTTTGTAGAAAGCAAATTTAAGTATGTTATTACTGAGCATTAAAATGACCTTTTGTGAATACATTTTAGGAGTAGGTAAATTATTGAGAAGCAGGATGCTACTTCTGATAAGCTCTGGGAGAGGGGCAAGCAGGACTAGGCCCAGCTTCTGTGGATGAGGCTGGGGTTGGGGCCAATGTCCTGGTTTTACAGAGTGGACACAAATCAGTCTACCTTTGGTTCAGATGGCTCCTTGACATCCAACGGGGCCTTTAGGACAGGAATTATGTAGACTGTTACTCTTGAGTAACAGTCTAAAGTGTGTTACTAGTTGGACACTTGTACTCATGCGTCTACCCTAAAGGCAGTGGAAGGGATGTGAGAACTAGTTTTGTGGTGCATAGGCAGATCATGATGGGACAGGCACTTGACACTGTAGGTGGTTTATGGACAAAGTTTTTCGATGCCTTCTGTTAACCCAGTTTGATCAACCTGTGTGTGGGTATGAGGGTCAGTTTCCCTACCCGAGTTAATTGATAGTTCTAAGCTTGTGTTTGATGACCAAGAACTGCAAGGACAATGATTTTTTTTTTTAGTATTTTATATCCTTACCACCTGGAAAAAATTTTTAAAAATTAGTACATAATGGGTCCTGGACATAACAGTTGTGCAGGAAGTAATGAAGTAACATTTGACATATGAGTGCTCAACTTCTTATTTAATGTTCAAACAATGTTTTCAAAATATTTTAAAGATGAACAGTCACTAAAACTTCAAGTAAACTTTCTTAAATTTCACTTTTTTCAAATTTTGACATCTTTATGAGCTAAAGCTTAAAATGATAATAGCATAGTTGGCAAGCACTGTAATTTTTAAATGCCAGTGCAAAGTTCCAGGCTACATGTCTGTACCTGTTTGACAAATACTGGTGTTCCAAAGATAACTAAGAATCTCATCATGAAGGGATTGTGCAGTGTAAGATAACTGATGAAATAACCCCCAATTCTGCACAGATCCAAAATACTACACAAACACCAAAACAATGAAAGAGGCACAGACTGGTTCAATGGTCTTTGAAAGGAAATGGCAAGAGGAGAAATAAAATTTTGCATCAAAATTATCCTGAATTAGGATCCAGTCAGGAAGTGGACATCACAGTAGGTATTTCCAAAGGAGAGTCTGAAACTGGTGGAGGAAACACAGCAGGCCTGATGGGAAACGAGGGACGGGAGTCTGGACAGAAGGGAATTGTAGGGGCATCTGGATGTGGGGCAGAGATGAAGCCACTGGTTAAGGAGCCGTCTTGGGCAGACAGAGACGGCTTTTCCATCTGCTGGGGGTTCTGTCTACATAGAACTAACCCCAGAAGGAAGGGTTGGAACGTGCCTTGCAGTGCAGAGAAGGGAGAAAAATAAACCTGAGAGTGAACAAATAGCATAATCCTTGACCCCAACAGCAGAACAAGGGGAGAGAACAAGGAGAGAGAGAGCTAAAACCGAAGCAAAGGTTTCATTTAAAGTGTCAAGGAATGGCATTTCCTGAGAAAATACAGCAGAGCAGCTATCTATAAGTTCCTAAGAAAGTGTTGTGCTTCTACATAGTTTTTAAATATATAGAAATGGAGAATCACAGTAAAAGTGCCATTGGTTATGTCAGAATGATGGGAAATGTGCTTCATGAGTACAGTTTGTTTTTAGCAGGGAGGTACATGCAGTGTTCTTTGATCAGGTTATTGCTGTAGGGCAGCTTAAATTTAAGTGATAAAATAGTTTGAAAGTATATATTTTTAAATGCAATACATAATGCACAATAAATACAGAAGTAATTGCTGTGAAGAAAATAAAACAAGAGACAGAATGAGGGTGAGGAATTTTAGATTAGATGTGTTCAGGAAAAGCCTCCTTGGAGACTCTGCCTTTAAGCTGAGACCCAAGGCAGTCACACGAAGCAGTATGTACCTGGCAGAACGACAGGCTAGAAGCAGGCCAGAAAGTTCATGAACAAAAACTTTTATCACTTTCATTTTCAGTACAATTTGGAAAGTACCACTGCAGTTAAACAGGAAGAAGAAATTAACTACAAGGTGGGAAATGAGGGGAAATGACTGCTATTTTCGGTGATGTGTATTAGTAGAGTTAAAAAAGGAAACAAGAATTCAGTGAGAGGGCTAATTACAAGTTTAGTATGAAAACAATAGCTTTGTTATGTGAAAGCTAAAACCGAAGCAAAGGTTTCATTTAAAGTGTCAATGTATTGACATGTCAATATGTCAGTGGAGCTGGGAAAACCGCAAGTGCTCATGCGAAAGAATGAAACCGAACTTCTGTTTTAAACTTCTCGCAAAAAATTAACTTGAAACGGGTGAAAGACTTAAATGTAAGACCTGAAACTGTAAAATATCTCCACGATGACGGGGGGTGGGGTGGGGGAAGCTCCTTGACATTGGTCTTTTTTGAATAGGACACAAGCAACAACAGCAAAAATCCACAAGCGGGACGAGATCAAACCAGGCTTCCTGCGGATGTGTTGCAAGTGACTTACTCTGTTCTCATCACCAAAGCAAGATGTCCATGGGATCATTTCCCAGTCGACCAGGAGCAAACGTGCTCCCATCCCAAGCAGAAGAGCAAAGATAAAGAGTGCCAGGGCCAAGGGACAGCAGACGCCCCCAGAACTGATGGAAGAAGGCAGCTAAAAATGGCAAACCCGGAATGCCGACATGGATTCGGTGCAGGAACAATACCTCAGCTCCCGAGGGTAGCTGGGAGCATCAAGTCATCTTACAGATTTCAACCATTAGTCAATGGAAGAGAGGGTCTGGCTTGAAAATAAAATGAAACAAAAAACTGCACAGCCAAAGAATCAACACAATGAAAGGACAATCCATAGAGTTGGAGAAGTTTTTTGCAAGTCATGTATCAGACAAGAAGTTCCTATCCAAAATATACAAGAAATTCATACAACTCAATAGCAAAGAAAAAAAAACCAGCAAAAATCCGGTTTTAAGAAGATCTGACCAGACATTTTTCCCCCAAGACACACAACTGCCAAGAAGCTCATGAAAAGCTGCTCATCATCATTAATCACGAGGGAAATGCAAATCAAGACTCCTTGAGCTATCACCACGCACAGCACATCGTAGAATGACTCATCAGAAAGACAAGAGATAATGCCTGTCGGTTAGGATGTGGTGAGAAGGGGGCTCTTGTGCACTTTTTCTGGGGGTGGTGGGTAGGGGGTGGGGTTGTGGAAAGAAAGTGGGGGCTCCTCAAAAATCTGAAAACAGATCTCCCATTTGATGCAGCGATCCCATTTCTGGACATCTCTCTGAAGAAACGAGTCAGTATTTTGAAGTGATCTGTGCACCTGTCTTGATTTCCTTCACGAGGTATGTGAGAATTTTGTCATTCTTCTATTGTCATTAAACATTGAGAGCAAAATAACTTCCTAAAATAAAAGGGTAAGAGCTCGTGGAGAAAGGGGATATTTTCACGAAAACAATATTTCCCTCATTCCATTTCCATTTGATGTCAAGCAGGACCTGCCATTGGCCATGCAGTTTAAGTGAAATATGCTCCGGCACACATATGAGGCAGCTTCTGTGCAAAACGAAATGGGGAGGGGGAAGAGAAAGAACAGAGAAAACTACACTTCAGTAAGCAGGATGTGGTGAAACCAAACTACATCTGTCTAATTACAACTGCCTTCTTGGTCTTGATCTGAAGTAAAATAGCAGGTGCCTATTTTGGTAGACACCTCTTGTCTACTGCGGAACCGGTCAATTGTGTCTTGATCATCCATCTCCAACCGTGCAGGTGTGTCAGTTCCTTGACTGATTGCCGGTCAAAGCAGAATCTGATTTGCCTTGTTGAAAAGAGGTTGCTGTTACTTTACCAAGGGGCACATGTCTCTTGATCTTCAACTCTACCACATGACTTCCCTGACTTGCCACTTCAAATGACTTTGATCATTGCTGTCAGTGTGGAGTTCCTCCTTGGGTTTTTCTTCAACCATGATGATGAGAGTCCT